GGGTTCTGCTGGGTTCTGCTGGGCTCTGCTAGGTTCTGTTGGGTTCTGTTGGGTTCTGCTGGGCTCTGCTAGGTTCTGCTAGGTTCTGTTTGGGCTCTGCTGGGTTCTGCTGGGTTCTGTTGGGTTCTGCTGGGTTCTGCTGGGCTCTGCTAGGTTCTGTTTGGGCTCTGCTGGGTTCTGCTGGGTTCTGTTGGGTTCTGTTGGGCTCTGCTGGGTTCTGCTGGGTTCTGTTGGGTTCTGCTGGGTTCTGCTGGGCTCTGTTAGGCTCTGCTTGGTTCTGTTGGGTTCTGCTGGGCTCTGCTAGGTTGTGCTGGGTTCTGTTGGGCTCTGCTGGGTTCTGTTGGGCTCTGCTGGGCTCTGCTGGGTTCTGTTGGGTTCTGTTGGGCTCTGCTGGGTTCTGCTGGGTTCTGTTGGGTTCTGCTGGGCTCTGCTAGGTTCTGCTGGGTTCTGTTGGGCTCTGCTGGGTTCTGTTGGGCTCTGCTGGGTTCTGTTGGGTTTCTGCTAGGTTCTGCTGGGCTCTGCTAGGTTCTGCTGGGTTCTGTTTGGGCTCTGCTGGGTTCTGCTGGGTTCTGTTGGGTTCTGCTGGGTTCTGTTGGGCTCTGCTGGGTTCTGCTGGGTTTCTGTGACCCGGTCTGTGTTTTGGTCAGACTGTTTCTTCAGGCAGGCCGACTGGTGTTACGCTCTGCTGGACTACCAGCAGGCCGAGGAGATGCTGAGTCCCAACGAGCCGGCCCTGAGGCTCCGCCTGGCCGTCATTCACAGCACTCTGGGCTCCTTCTGCTTCCATGACTGGTCAGAACCAGAACACCAGTACTCCCACAAGAACTCCCTCACAGGTTCAGTGACTGTGTGTTTGCGTCTGCAGGTACTTCCAGGACGCAGCCGACATGTTTTCCCTGGCCATCATGTACAACCCGACCGCCAGTCCGTACTATGAGTACCGGTCGAAGGCGCTGCGCCGGATCCAGAACCTGAAGGGCGCCAGAGAGGACCTGATCCGCCTGCTGATCCTGGACCCCGACAACGAGGAGGTCCGCAGCTGATCCTCACATTTCACCCCGGAAACCTGATGACGGTTTGTCTGTTTGTGCAGATCCCCCCGATGATGATGAACCTGTTCCCCGGCAGCACCGTGGCCCAGGTTCTGTCCAGCACCAAGGGGCAGTTGCTCCGAGATGAGCTGACGGAAACCATCCGGGTCTGGGAGTCTTCTTCTGATCCAGAGAAGAGGTTAGCAGCACCGCCACCAACAGATGAAACCTCCAAGAGACTAACCAGTGGTTTAGTAATCAATTATTCTGATGATTTATCAATTATTTTGATGGCTAATTGCTTATTCTGACAATTGATTACACTGACGATTAATCAATTATTCTGGTGATTAATTGATTATTTTGACTAATTTGATTATCATGACGATTAATAGGATAAAAAATTAGCACGGTTTCAGTTTTCTTTAATATTAGAAATATATTAAAAGATGCAAATAATCAAATTCATTTTTAATAAAGTTAAACATATTTTTGCCTAAAATGCAACAACAAAGCATTTCTTCATTGAACGCTTCATCATTTGCAGCAATTGATGCATCTGCAGCTGAACCTTGCAACATGTCTTGTTACAAGTGAAATAATCTGCCAGATAATCTGAACTTGTACTTTTTAAAAATCAATATTCAGGATTTATTTTCTTGAAACAAGCTCCTATGTCTTGCTGAAGTCTCTTTTAAATGAATATTGTCTTATTTCAAGTGTACAAACTTATCTTGAAACTAAACCAGAAATACTGGATAAGATTTATTTGTTTGTGCAGTGAAATGTAAAATGTATATATTTTCTGGCTACTTGTTGCTCTGAGTGTTTTTCTTTCAGCAAATTGCCTCTTTTGAGTTTTTAACCATTAATCAAATACAAAATTAGTTGACAACTATTTGAAGAATCGATTAATGGTTTCAGCCTTAGAGACAGGTGTGCCTGTTCGGTTTGTTTTAGCCTGGAGGAAAGTCTGAGCAGCCTGACTGTGAGCGGTGAGAGTCCAGAGGGCGAAGCGTTGAGCCTGTCTGAAGCTGCTCAGGAGCTCAGCCTGTGTGTGAGCAGGAAGGACCTGCAGAACGCAGCCAGGGCCCTCCTGCAGGTACGGGCACAAGCCAGGGCCACAAAACATGTTCGCTACATTTTTGGCACAAAATCCTTCTTAGATAATGAGATCTTAGTGTGGCCAGTTTTTTAAAATTTAAATCCACATTAGCTGCTGCTGGCCACGCCCCTCAGCTTAGCATTTACAGTCCCATGTGATAATGGCTGCAAACAGATGTGCAGTTATACAACTGCACATGTTTGAAAAGCAGAAGTGGAATCTCCTGCACAACCAATAAGAATGCAGCAAGTGGTTTCTGGATGGCAAGTCAGCAACAAAACACTTTTCCTGTCCAGCAGCCATTGTTCACTCACCTATAAAACCAGCTGACCAAATGTGCTGGAGCTCCACTTGAGTTGCTAGGTAACGGCGCAGTGCTCACTGTGACTCAACAATAGGAACGTTTTTATGAAACAGCTCATTTTCCAGACACCAAAATTCATGATCTCATTGCCATAAAACGGCTCAGTATTTTAAAAAATGTTTGTACTGATTTTAGAAGCAGCTCAAACTCAAACTGAAGTACAGAAATATTCAGAATGTGAATCTTTCATGATTGGTTTCCTGTGGCGCTGCTGACCGCTCTGTGTCGCTCTGTCCTGCGCTCAGGTGGAGGAGGCTGTGGAGTCGTTCATCCCCGTCTGTCCGGCCCTGCGCCAGAGCAGCACTAGCGCCTCAAAGTGTCCACCAACAGCAAGCGCGTCTACTCTTCCACTGCCAGCAAACCTGAGCCGCCTGGGGTCTGGAAAATAACACCAGCGTTCACATCCAGTCCTACTCTGTTGTTAGATTCTCTGTTTTAACATTTTTACTTCTTTAAAATCATTCAGTACTGTCACTAATCCAATTAAACGACTGTAGTATTTTCCATTTTAGATATATATTTGAAAGTCTAATCCTACAGAAATTACAAAAAGTGTTCATTGTATCAGCTTTTCTGAAGAGTCAGTCAGGGGCCACACAAAGTCATTCCAAGGGCCACAAATAGCCACCGGGCCGCACTTTGAACACCACTTCAGTAAATCTTCCTTGAAAGAAAATGTCACGTTTCTTATATTTGCAGGACATAAAAATTTGTGTCCACTTAGAAAAACTGATGTGATTCAGCATTTTTACTAAAAATAACAGAAAATTCAGACAAAACATTTCAAGTGTGAAAGGTGCTAATGTCTCTGATCGTTTAGTTTTTATTTTTACAAAATAACTGAGTTTGACACCAAACAGACACAAACAGCAAAAAAAAGACAAAACAAAACATAAAGTCAAATAATGTGTAAAAAACCTCCAGCAATGAAGAAACGCCATTTCTGATTCCAGCTGTAATGTAGCATTTTGTCCAGCAGGTGGCAGCAGAGCCACAGTTTGAGCCGGTTAGCTGTAATTTTATTGTTTTATTTAACTTGAAGATTGAATTTAAAACTGTTCTGCTCAACATGGCTGAATAAAAACGCGCTAAAAATAACAGATTATGAAATAAAAGGTTTAATTATTTAACAGTATTAAAAATAAAAAAATGTTGAGAAAAGTCCTGCAAAAAAGCTTTAAAATAGAAACATTTTGATTGAAGCTTCTAATCACAAACTGAAAAGTGTATAAAAATCTCGCTTCTAATTTGAGTAAATTTATAAACTGTGAAGAAAATCCTAGTATAATAACTTTTAATAAAATAACACCTGCTCTATATTGACACACTTTTACTGTAAAATCGTGATTTTTCTGTCACTTTTTAAAATAGGAAAGACAAGAGAACATGTAAGTAAAGTAAATCTGTGCTCAGGAAAGAGCTGCAAGAAATTAGTTCATAGAAAGCAGAGTAATAATTAAAACGTTTAAAACAAGGAAGGATGAGGAGCCATATTTATTTATCTTCCTTCCCTCTAATAAACATTATGGAAATTAAAAAAAAATCTCATCTTCTTTTCTCAAAGATAAAATCCCCAGCAGTGGTTTCATCCCTGGGAATCAGTTTCAGCAGCGCAGACGTGTTGTGGCTGCAGCTGCGTGAGGCGGCTGACCTGCAGCATTAACAGCAGCTGTGGTAACAGCTGACCCACACACACACACACACACACACACACACACACACACACACACACACGGTCGGAGCAGGAGCTGCGGCACATCGGCTACAACCGCGCAGTAAAAGCACAAACATGCCTCACATACCAGAGAGCGTCCCGGTTCTGAGGATGTTCAGGTTGAATATCTGAGGAAGTTCTCTGGACTCCAGGAAGCAGCTGGAACTCTGCTGGCATTAAAGCTGCAAGACGCAACTTTTATAAAACATTTGTTCTTACATATTTGCTTAAGCTCTCACCATGTTGCGACAGTTTGGCATAAGACAACCAGTGGAAAATATCAAGCTGTTCCGCTTTCTCCTAGTACGAACTAGAAACAACCAATCAGAGCCAGGAGGCGGGTCTTAGTGCTGTGAATCAGCCTTTGTGTGCGCCACGTGGCCTGTCGTGAATGCTAAGGCTAGTTAGGATGGCCAACAGTTTATCTGAAGGCAGATAAAAGGTTTTCCTATAATTGGTAAGTTGTTTCCCTGGTATTAGCACATTTAGTAGCTCGTTCATGAGGGTGATTGGCAGCGCTAAGACCCGGCTCCTGGCTCTGATTGGTTGTTTTTGGTGCATTTCTTCAGACAGCAGTAGCAGCTCAGGAAAGAGGACGATCTTCTCACAGATCATCCGCCTCATAAACTCAACAAATATGGGAAAATATATTTTTTATAAAAGTAACGACCTGCAGCTTCACATTAATTCATCAGAACATTTCTTAGTTTCATTTTGTGGTTCTCTATCTTTTCTTTCTGGAACAGGTACCGACTGACTCTGGAAGAGCTCACCTGGATGACTTTTATACATCCTGCATTCGTTGTTCACAACCTTTTTTGTGTTTTTATCTCAAGCATCCCTGAGACCTAAAAGAGGAAACACAACGTAAGGACTTTCTAACAACCCAAAGAAAAACTAAGTTAAAAGAACTTATGATTTACAAAATTCAACATCAAAGGCTGATAATGATAATTATGAAATTATTAAAGAGGTGTGTGTCAGTGAAGGCATCACATCCCCGTCCCACCAGTCCAGCAGACAGGAAGCAGCTGCAGCCTTGCAGAAGGTGTCCAGTCCTCCCAGTTTGGTCCCAGTCCTGGCTGTGTGGGCAGCCAGCGGCCGTAAAGGAGCCGCTTTTCACACCGAGCGGGGCAATGAAAGGCTCGCCTTCCCGTCCCGTCAGGGCCCAGACACAAACACCTCTCAGGGCGCGGAGCCGGCGGCTTGGCCCCCGGTCAACGCATTCCCTGACGGGGGCGGGCGGGGGGCGCTCTCGCCGCGGACGCAGACTGTTTGGTCTGAGATAAGCCGGACGGGTTTGTAGACTTTGGGTCGGGTTCAGGACAGGTGACGTGCGGCGCGCTCAGCTCCCACTGAAACCCGGTACGTTCCTGTTCAATTAGATTAGAGTTTCTGGACTGAAGTATGTGGCGGTCGGAGCATTTCTCAGAGAAACAGAGACGTTAAAAGCTGCTACACTTCAATAAAATATCACAGTTTATTTTAAAAAAATACACAAACATCAGAACATGTAATAAATACCTGATCACACAAAGCGACGTGTACGACGGAGAATCAGGGCCACAATAAGAAAATAAAGAATAAAGTCAAAATAATACAAGAATAAATTCATAACAGGAATAAATTTGCAGTATTACAAGAAAAAAGACGTACGAGAATAAATTTGTAATGTTATGAGTAAATTTGTAGTTAAGATAAAATTTTTCATTTTCTTAATACTGAATTTATTTTCTGTAATTTTCTGACTTTATTCTAGTAATTTTGTGTCGTGTTTTTCCTCCGTGTGGCTCGGCTGTCGTAGACGGGAGCTAAGCAGGAACAGATGACGGCAGGAGTCCACCTGCTCCTCCAGAAGACATGAAGACTCCAGAGACAGACTGATGTCCTCATGACGTCTCTGGCACCTGCAGGACGGATGAAACGCCTAGCTCTGCTTTACAGTCTAATAACTCTCAGCTTCCTCTCTAGGAGCGAAGGAAAGGAGAAGGAAGAGGCGAGCAGACCGCCGTTTTCCCCAGAGGAACATCTCTAAACACAATTTATCCATTTTGGAGAGATAAACCATCTGCTGGTCTGATCATCCCATAAATCGCGCTGTCAGTTTTACAGGCTCGTCTCGGCCGTCTGTCTCGCGCGTCCCGGTTCTGATCCGACGTCTGATTCACCTCAGAGTTTTACATCGGGTCACTTTTGTTTGTTTATCATCTGGCTTCCAGTCACTGGCGGATTCCTCAGATGGCTGCTTAAACAGAAAACCAGCCAGGTCGCAGTTTCTGGGTAGGAAGGAAAATCCACATCCGGGCCGGTTTCCTGAGTCCTGACAGCCGCTTGGTGCCGGTCCAGCGCCGCCGGGCCGTCCGGCTGACCGCGGCTTCACTTCCAGCCGTTCAGCTCCTTCAGCTTGCTGACGCTCGTCCCTTTGACCGGCGGGGAGGGCGGAGGGGCGCAGACCGGCAGGGTGGGGGTGCCGGACACTCGGGGCCACAGCTTCTCCGTGGGGAGTCGCCACACTGACCGAGACGACTTCTTCTTCTGTGGTTTGTTTGTCTTTTCTTTGGAAGAACCCGGAGACATTGTCTGGAGAGCAAACAGAGCAGAGATAAAGAAACACAGAAACTAGAGAGATTTATGGAAGTATTCACGCCCATCACACATCGAAATGTTTCAACCTCAAACTGAATGTCGTTGGGATTTTATCACTTTTACTGCTGGTGCCAGGAGCGGCCATATTGGAACATAAATGGATGAATTCCTGATTAGGAAATTGGAGTTTCCGAGTTCCGACTACAAATGGATGCATCATTAGCTGTTAGCACTTAGCATTATCTTCTGCTCATTAGTTCCCACAAGTCTGCACTGGAAGTGATCTGCGCCATCTTGGTAGGCAACGCAGCACAAAGCAGAGATGATCTGTGGCTTCCAGGCCAACAGACAGGAAGCATATATCAAAATAGAAAAAATATATATTAACAAAATGGCTGCTGTTGGGATCGACTCGTATCAGTGCCGTTCTCCTTATGTGGACAAGCTGCCTCTGACTACGTCATCGTTCACCACTGCTACCATGAATGCCTACAATCCGTATTTCAACGGATTCGTAAAGGACTACGAACTTTTCATGTGAACAACGAGGTTCTGGTGACTGGCAGAGAAAGTACATGTGGCAACAAACATGTAGGCTACATGTCTGTCTTAGCTAGCAGGTAAAAGCTACATTAGCTAAGCTAATTTTGCTACTTCGGCAGTAAGTTCTCCAGTAAATGTCACTGATACTTATCTTGACTATCACACACAGGGGGGTAAAGTACTCGGAAACTGTGATACAGTAATAGTTGCAAAGTGTTAAGTTGTTTATAAGTTAGATAGGAACAAGACGAGAGCTAGTGCTAAGCTTGTGGCTCGTAGCAACTCCACAGCAACTGTCACGACAGTTATTTACAGATACCTACCAAGATGGCTGTCAGCTACAAAGTTCCTGGAAGTGTGATGTCACATGAAGGCTATGTGTTACCATGGTGGTGTTGCGCCTAATGTTTATGATTAGCATGCTAGCGTTAGCCACGTTTCATATTACTCTTATCTTCTCTTTGGTAACATTTCCTGTGGTTGCAGCATTTTCCTTTTCCAACGTTTTTTTCCGTGTTTCCATGTTTTTTAGTTAGCATCTTTTGTGTGTGTGCTGCTGATTGTTGTGTTTTGAGTCTTTGCAACCTGCCAACATGTGAACAGCTTCCTGTGAATACTTGTGCAGGCTCTGAGTAAGGTTGTGAATGTGACATACGCAGCAGCAGAGCGTCAAGCAGGTGATCTTTGCAGCGTTTTCTCCCGACCCGGCGTAGCGGTTCTTCTTGGGCAGCAGCAGCACGAAGGACACGGCCAGAGACAGATGGTAGAAGCTGTGGACGTAGGCGTAGTCCCACTCCTGCAGACCAAAACAAGACAGCCAGACTCTGTAATTAAAACCCAAACAATCGACTCGCAGATGAGCGGCAGACATTTATCTACTGGGCTGGGCTTTGTTTTCACGATGAGGCACCTCAAAGTAGAAGCGCAGCATCAGAGCGAGGGCGCCGAAGCAGCAGCCTGGACCGACCTGCTGCGTGTAAACGCTCTTCTCCGGGTAGATGGCCCTCAGCTGCTTCATCTTCTGCAGCTGGAACAGCAGCACAACATCAACCAGACAATAACAAACCTGGCCCACTGGAAGCAGCACTATCAAAATAAAAGCTCCTTCAAATGCAGATCATGGAGGGAAAGAAGAACCTCTCTGACTATCAGGAGAGGTTCTTCAGTCTTTACACAGTCAGAAATTAATACAATTATTTGAGTTAATTATTCAGGCATAAGAGAAGAAAATAGAAGTTAACTTTTTAAAAGCATATTGTAATTATAATATTTATTCATTTATAAATGTCACAGTTTCAACTAATTGTTTACCAAATAAATATTTAGTCAGGGAGTTAAATATTTTGTGGCCACGCCCCCTTGTAAGGTGATGCCTTACGTTTAATTGGCAAGCTAAATATTTAGCTTGCCAATTAAATATTTAGTTTGAAACTGACATTTACATAAATAACATTGTCCTCTAATGACAATCTAAATAACCCAAATAACTTCTGTTAATTTTTAACTGTTAACTGGCCCATATCACTCACCCATTTGATGGTGATGATGAAGACGGCCGATCCGATTGGTCCAGAGTAGATCCCATAGCCCCAGCGGTCCTGGTAGATCCTCACGGCGATGGTCAGCACTCCAAACATCGATATGGTGGAGCGCTGCGGCTCGTCAAAGTCTCCCAGAGCTGGAGAGACGAGACCGGAGACGGATCCAGGTCTTTACTGGACGTTAACATCTGGTTAACCAGTGGCTGGACGCTACACCAGTTAACTGCACCGGTTAACCAGTGGCTGAACGCTAACATCTGGTTAACCAGTGGCTGGACGCTGCACCGGTTAAGCAATGACTGGACGCTACACCAGTTAACCAGTGGCTGGACGCTAACATCTGGTTAACCAGTGGCTGGACGCTAACATCTGGTTAACCAGTGGCTGGACGCTGCACCGGTTAACCGGTGACTGGACGCTGCACCGGTTAACCGATGGCTGGACGCTGCACTGGGTTAACCCAGTCTGTAGGCTCCAC